TGGACTAATCAACGATTAAGTTAATCGGAGTTTGGTCGAAGTGGCCCTTAACTTCTTGGTACTGCTCGCTGCCGCGGATACGCGCGCACCATACGCGGCACACGGTACCAAAAATTTGTAATGCGGACGGACGACGCGTACGTGCACATGCAAGCATCCACGTACGTGACACGAGGTGGTAGGCCAACAAGACAAGGAGCGAGGTCCCGTGAGAGAGAAAAAGAGAAAGGTGGGAGAGGGTAAGAAACTGGTGGCGAGCTCTCACGAGGACTAGCGTCATTGTTGATCCCCTCCGTCCCCTCGTGAGATATCGAGTCCCATATGTTACGTCCGATATGTTACGCGTGCAAAATAGTAGGTTTCATCCGAATATAATTTCAAGGATATCTTCCTCGAAATTTTTTTTAAAAGGATGAAGCAAGTTTACGCACTACTCGTTTGCTCCGATCACTTCCAAAACAATACAATGTCCAAAATTAGAATATAAGACGTCTTTTGCATTGTGTTGGGCTATTTCTATTACGTCCCTACGATCCTTCCTACAATCCACGCGGACCACGCGTACCCTTTTCCTCCCTCATCGGTAAATCGCCAGCCACCTCCGGCCCTGCCGCGGGGCCCAGAGCACCTATGCCGACGATGGGGGCGGCGGGAAGAAGAGGGAGGCAAAGAGATAGAGAGGCGAGGTCGAGACAGAAGACATCGAGGGACAGTTCAGTGGCCCTCTTCCCCCTCCTCCGACCCCCTACCCCCCTCGCGCCGCACCTTGTAGCAAAGGCCACCAGCTCCTTGTCCTATTTTTGACGTCATCGACGGTGAAGGTAGACAGCGAGCAAGGGGGTGGTGCGCGCGCATGCGCGAGTGACTGTTCACCAACATGGTGAACGTCCTGGGTGACTCTCACTCGCGGCGGTGCCCAAGAGTGCTGAGGAGGCACAAGGCCTGCTGCGGTCCACCAGCAGCGGTGAGCGGAGCAGTGAACGGCAGTACACCGCGATCGAAGGAGGTTCTTGGGCGCGCGGGCACGGCCGAATAAAGGCGCGCGCCTTATTTAACAAGGCACCCCGCGCGTTTTCCTCCGCTTGCTTTTTAGTATATGTCTGCTCGCTCGCTCGCGCGACCGCGACCGCGAGCCATAAGAGTAGTCGGCAGCCGTGGCCGTCGCGAGGATCTTCTCTGCGCTCGTCCTTTTCGTCGACGATAGTGCCCGCCGGGGATTTTCGCACGAACTTTGGACTTTCAGACTTCGCGAATAATTGGCGTCCAATAATCGCAATAAGACGCGTCATCGCGTCGCGATCCAGCGCGACTTTCGCCGATTATGGATAGGAGAGAGCGCGGCGACGAGCAGCGCGAATGCCTATCTTGAACCAATCTGTGAAGCATATTGTAGGCGGTGGAGAACGGCGGAGGCGTACGCGGGGCGACGTGCTCGCCAGGCGCTTTTACTCGAGAGGTACGTAGAGGAACCCGCGGGATAGCGCGACATATGGACAACGGTCACGGCGGGAAAAGAGGTCCTCGTAGGGACCCTGCGGCGAGATCGAAGAGTGGAGCAGCGGAATGTACGGTTCCCCGAGATTTAAAATACATATATATAACAAATAGGAGTATACATATATGGGTGTATGTACAAAGCACGTGCGTTTTAAACATATATGCGATGCTTGATCCACGGTGATAAAAATGTCGTTCCGAGTGAACGAGATGGCCATCGTCGTCATCCTCGCCATCATCATCGTCGTCGTAGTCGTTGAATTGAGCAAGCGCGACATTTACTTATGTGCGATACATTCTCGGCTTGGAAGGCACGAGGGAGGAGTACGATCAGGCGAGGGAGCGACGTGAAAGTGAGTTCTGCTCGCACGCTACGTCGTCTGAACGACGATACAATTCGCGAAGTCAACTGTAAACGAATCGCGAGCCTTTTCGTGACTTCGTCGTGGGTGGTTTCCAAGGTGGTTTCCAACATCAACAGGGATTTCTTCTTTTTTTCTTCCCAAAGAGCACCATGTCCAAAATCGGGACATAAGATGTCTTATTAAAGACGTTATTAATACATCTTTAAGACGTCTTATGTTCCAATTTTGGACATGCGTGCTATCTGGGTTCTTTCTACGCGTGCCCGAACGTTCAGCCGGGACGTCGCTTTGTTGTGAGAGCGCGGGAGGTCCCGTCATGCAACATGCAATTCGTTACGAGCGTCGAACGCTCGGGAAAGTCACATCCCGTGCAGACTTTTCGCGAACGCGAACCGGATATTCTGCCGCTCACACGTATCGCGTCGTATCATACGAGAGCGTGGAGTTTCGTGGCCCGCGACCGATAGCGCGATGTCGCAATGTCTCCCCCTCGCGCTATAATGCTCCGCTTTTCCACTTTGGCAACCGCTCTGCGCGAGGCAACGTTCCTGAGGGAAGTTTGAAACCTGGCTTGAAATCGCGATCAAAGTAGCCCCCGTCTCCCAAATAACAATAGACGTTGGAAACGCATCTTTTCTACAGATGACGAAATGTGATAGCTTGTTTAGCTCATACGGATGCGTGTCCGTAAACACGTAATTAAAGTCAATTAGTTGATGCGCAACTAATTCTCCAATCTCTACCTCCAACTTTCTCGCCAAAAACAGACGGGGGGTTAATGAGGTCGAGAAATGCGTTTTTAACGTTTCGGTAAGGCGCGTCTACGTGAAGGATCCGCTCCCCGGGGAATTCCGCGGCGGGCGTTCCACAGGTATCGGCAGGGGAACAAAACCGGTATAATAATTTCGCTGAGTTCACGCCGAGTTTGGATATCAACCGATATCAATAATTATATCTTGCGTTCGTTCGTGAGAATCGTCGGCGCGAAGTCATCTTGTTCCCGCGCCGAAAGACGCATCACGCGGAAATCGAATCGAGGTCGGAAACTCATCGGGAATTGTCGGAAATTAATCTTGTCGGCGTCATACCACGTTTCGAGACACGAGACTCGCGATTGCGCCGCGCGAGTCGATGATTGCGAGATTGACTTTCGCGCAAGCGGCAAGCATAATCGTGAAAGCCGCAAGCAGCTCGCAAGCTGCGCTCGCTTGCTTCCGCGGTAAGCAAATTCCTCGCTTTCTACGAAACGAGCGGCCGAACGCCAAGAAATACGTCTGTTCTAAACGCGATGGAAACGCGTTTCACGCTTGACGTATTCCGCGGCCGCTGGACGTTTATCCTGTCCGTGGCACACGGCGGATCGTACCCACAATTTCTTTTCTCGCTCAGCTCCGGCTGACTATATATAGGCCAAGGAAAATAACGCGTTCGACGCCAATTCGGAACGGCCGCTCGCCTCCATCGAATTCAGATTCGACGTAAATCATGCGCGTTAGAAGGTTGATTTATTGATGTTATCGGCTAGAAGCAGGAACCGAAATCTGGCTATAATTCTTATGAAGTTCTTTTTGCACAGACATCCTGAAGTCTACAAGAATTCGAACACGCGAATTTTTATAGAATTAAATTCGATTACTTGTGCTATCTGGGTAATGACACGTCTTTTCTCTGCACTCGGGATTTTAGCTCTCGTACTTCCGGTCGAAAACACTATAATCAATCTGGTGCCCTCTATTAAGGCAGACAGCCTTAATTTCTTTTCTTAATAATATATTGATAGAAATACTCAGATACGCTCTATATACAGGGTGTTCCCTAAGTAGGTACAAAAAAATGAAGGGGATATTCCGTGGCTTATTTTAGGAAGAAAAGATCCTAAACATATGCCCCATGTAAGACCGTGATATGCTCTAAACTGCTTTGTTTTCAAAATACAGAGTGTTAAAGTGAAAAAAATCTTAAAATTTCGAAAATTTGAAAAATGTTTTAAAAATATTTTATTCAAATTTGGTATGTGCATATACTTGTGGTATTAAGAACTATTATCCAGTATCGATATTGACCAGTATTGATACATATGATTATATTTACAGTTTTTAATTTCAATTTTTTACCTTATCTCGAAAGCGGCGCATTGTTTCAAAAAAACACCATAGAGGCAGTTTTTATAAAGTTTTAGTTCGGGATTTTTTTAAATACGGTTGAATTGGTTTAGATTTTATGAAAGGCTACATCTCGTCTTATAGAAATTGGTGATAATCGAGAAAAAAGTCGGAGAATTAAAAAAAATCTGTAGTCGAATGAATGTGAAATATTAGAGGTGGTTCATGTCATCGCTCGTTGTCTATTAATAGGCATAAATATGAAGAAGCTCGCTGCGAGCGATTTATCGGTTTTCCTCGAGGGTGCCTCGCAAGAAAGTAGTCACGGACGGTCGGTCGTTGTACATACTACTTTTCATCGCACGAGGAAGAAGAGCCGATCCTCCTCGTCGGTAATTTCGTCGAGTTTATTGCCTCACGCAAATTAAAATGGCGATATATCGGCGCCTTATCGATATTACGGTCGTAAGTCGTGCAGATTTATGGCGATATCGTAAAGAGGGATAATCGTTGCGGGTTTGCGTCGCGCCGCACGGATCGTAGTAATTGCGATTTACGCATCCTCGCGTCCTCGCTTAATTCTCGCTTTCGTTTAATTGCAGCCCCGCGATTTACTTTCGTTGCATTGCAATCGCTTATAGGAGTATTTCGCACCGGACCCGCCGGGGTTGTCCCCGCGAAAAGGTGTGCGTAAAATATTTGGCTGCTGCCGCGCGGCCGAGTATAACCAGTTTCCTTCCACTGCTTCGAAATCTCGCTGTTGCACTCATCGAAGTCACTTGGCGAGTTGACTGGGACTTGGCGAAATAAGGTGGGAGAGAAAGATAGAGAAAAAGAGAGAAGAAGGGGTCTGCGAGCGAGAAAGAGAGTGAGCGAATGTGCGCGAAGAAGAGTGAGGAGTGGGTGGTGCGTGATAGAATGGCGGATAAAAGGTAGAAGGAGAGGAGGAAGAAGAAATGTGGACAGGAATAATTGGAAGAAATGACAGGAGACGTGAATTAGCGATGACGAAGAAAAGTTACAGAGAGAATATGAATAATGGCGAAGCTATATGAAAGAAACAATTTAAGAGAACTGGATTTTGATACAGTTGGGTATTAAACAGCAGAGACAGACTGCCGTTCTCTCAAAGTTGAAGAAACGAGAGAGGTACGAAAGCAGAGAAGAAAAGAGATACTTTGACAAAGACAAGGAGATACAAAGATAGTGCCGAGCGAAGAAAACCGAAAAGTAAAAGGGAAAGACAGCGAAATTGATAAAGAGAGAACACAAATCCGTGGAAATGTGTAGTAGAGATGAAGAGATATACGAAGGCGGCAGCTGAAGTACGAAGAGAATCGAGGAGAGAGAGAGAGAGAGAGAGAGAGAGAGAGAGAGAGAGAGAGAGAGATTTCTCAAAAGAAGATATACTCAGTCCGTAACAAAGACGGAGAAGCACGTGACGACAGAAGCTGAAGAGTGAAGAAAATCGCGGAGAAACGAGAGGGACATGGTGAAATACCCGTCAAGAAAAGAGGTGGAGAGAGGCAAAAAGAAGAGAAAGAGCGTGCGAACGGTCGTGTATGCCTCGCACGGGTGTGCGGGTGTCCATACGTGGTCTGTATGTGTGCATAGTGGTCCGTGCATTTATGTGTACGTGTGTCTTCACAGCGCACACCACGGCGAACGGATAGTGATTCGAGCCACAGTGTGGCTGCCACACCGCCAATCTCGAGGAAGGTGGGGATCCGCGCCGGTGTGTGCGCTGTACTCCAGCCAGGCCGTGCTAGACGCTGCCGCTGGTCGTATACAACAGCCTTCGCATTCTTCGAAGAAGTGAAAGCAGTTTCAGGGAAATTCTGGTGGCGGCCGGGCGTTCGCTCGCTCGTTCGTTCGTTCGTTCGTTCGTCGAAGGCAGAGTCGGCCGTGTGACGTTTCTTTCACCTCCGCGGCGCAGCGGAGATCCGCGCAATTCACGACTCGCGAGATTCACGCCGGGATCCCTTTTTCCTCATTATCGGCGCACGAGATCGGGCTCATTACGAAATCGTCATTGTGATTTCGCCCTAGGGAGACTTGCCCACGTATGTGCATACGCGCGAAACAGATGGCGAGCTCGGACGCAATCCCGTGCCTTGCGGTGAGATAATGGACAAACGCCATGAGGCACCTACTGTGTGGAGAACGTTGCAAAATCGTCGTCGAAGGGGAATAGAAGAGCGTCACTCGTGAGTCAGATTTCGGGGGTTCTGTTCTGTTTAGGAATGTCTCGGATTCTCACTCTGAATAAGGGAGAATACGCTCTTTCGTAAATCAAGGGTCCCACCATCGTCGCCACGAAGACCGTTCGATTTCGTTACGTAAATGTTGCATCATTACATCAATTATTTCGTCTTATCTTCGATATTGCCGCAAGAAGCGTTTTTAGAAGTTGGCCACTCTCTCGCGGAAAATGATTATCTATCCGTAATTAGGGCGTATATGTACCACAGTGTACATGGTGGTCCATCAGA